TTTCACGTCAGCTTCAAACACCAGCTTTACACCAGCTTCAAACGCCGAGCTTCACGCCAGCTTCAAACGCCAGCTTCACGTCAGCTTCACGTCAACTTCAAACGCCAGTTCCACGTCAACTTCATTCGTCAGCTTCAAAGGCCAGTTTCCAACGCCAGTTTCACGTCAGCTTCAAACGTCAGTTTCACATCAGCTTCAAACGCCAGCTTCACGCCAGCTTCAAACGCCACCTTCAACCGCCAGCTTCATACGTCACCTTTAAACGCCAGTTTCACGCCAGCTTCATACGTCAGCTTCAAACGCCAGTTTCACGCCAGCTTCATACGTCAGCTTCAAACGCCAGCTTCCAACGTCAGTTTCACGTCAGCTTCACGTCAGCTTCAAACGCCAGCTTCACGTCAGCATACAATGCAACAACGCATCCGTAAAGCATGAATGCTGCATGATGGATGTCCAACAACCGGAGGACTGCGTGTGTTGCCATGGTAATCGACATTAGTTCATGTCTTGCTTTGGTTTTATTTGACTGTTTCCAAAGTGAATGTTTGTGGAAGCTGAGAGCAAAGAACATAAATATTAATAAACAAGATGCCGTAGAGGTCTGGAGGGAAGCACGCGGTTCAGATCATTTCACAGGGCCACTGTCTAACTCCTGTCATTGTGATGCATGATGGGAAACAGGTGGCCCTGGCGGGCGACCAATCCAATAAAGGCACAGATGATTAGATCCACGACCCCCCCCCCCCACACGGACTGGAGCCGCTCAGAGGTGGAACTTTACATTCACACCCCAAATACAGCGGGAGCTCACCTCCGCCTATATATGTATATATATATATATATGTATATATATATATATGTATATATAGGAGGTAATGGATGTATTCTGATCGATTGACGTAGAGATCTTTGCGTCATTGCGTTCCTGGAAGGAGGATCTGGTTGACAGGAAACTGATTTGCCCCCCGCCTCAGTACCGTTGAGCCACTTGGAGTTGTACTGCGCCGTGCGGAGTGGCGGCATGCCCCCCAGGCTGCGGTAGATCACCGGGTCGCGGCCCGAGAAGTCGATGACGGTGGCGGCGTACAGCTCGCCGCTCTCCGTCACTACTGCCGTGGAGTTGTGGCGGGGGTCGTAAGGGCAGCGCGCCACGCCGTTCACCCGCTCCAACACGCTGCTCATGTTGCCCACCTGGGGAGGGAGGGGGGTGGGGGGGTGAGGGTAAGGTAGGAAGTGTTACATCTCCAGCTGGTCCCTCCCCCTCACAGGTGTCCTCACCTCTCTGGTGATGCACGTCGGCTGGAAGGCGTTGGTCCCACAGGTCATCACCTCCGTCTTGTTCACCAGAAGGACCCGGATGTAGTTCTGACAGTCCATCTGCACGGGGGGTCGAGGAAATGAGGACAGTTTGTCACACCTGAGAGGAGGCGTGTCCATCCCCTTCCCTTTGCCCCCTCCCCACCCTGTGTCCGTCCCCCGAGGGTCCAGCAGACCCCTCCCATGTTGTGATGGAGGTTACCTCTGTTTTGCCTTTGCTCTGACAGGACCGCCTGGTCTCCTCGTCTGGTGCCCACTCCGTCGCCTAGGAAACACAGAGGAGGAGAAGAGATGACAAAGAGGTTTTCGGGGAGAGAGCGGCCGGCCGAGTCCTTCGGTTACGCAACGCCGACCGGTGAGAATAGCGAGCAGAAAAAGGCTTCGCTCTCATTGCTGTTGGTGTATAGTGTAAACATGGAAGCAGGCGCCATTAGCATGTCAATGGACCCCGTCCTCTTCCTTCCTCCCGCTTCACAAGTGTGCACCGCTTTCAACCGGCCACACACACACACACACACATGCACACACACACACACACTCACTCACACACGCACACACACACACACACACACACACACACACACACACACACGCTGCACTGGCTCGTGTTGAGAGGGTTTGAGAGACGTTGCTTTTCTTTGGCGTGGACTGTGTGTGCGTGTGTGTGTGTGTGTGTGTGCGTGTGTATGTGTGTGTGTGTGTGTGTGCGTGCGCACAGTGCCAGGCGGCCTCCTGCTGCGTGTCACTGGACTGGTTTTACTCCTCTTCCTCTTCTCTGATCTCTCGCCAAGTGGGAAGTGT